ACACTGTCCAGAAGGGGGTCGATTTTGCTCCCCCAGCTGAAGAAAATTAAAAAAAAATAAGGATATTGGAAAGTTTCTTATAATGGTGCACAACATATTAAATCCTGGCACATAGTTCTGAAAGTATTCAGCAAAGTTTGCCTCTCATTGTATAATCAACCAGAGCCTCAACCCCAAAGGTATATTCCCATAATACGGATATTAGTTGCATCCGAAATCAACAACAAAATTATATTTAATAATGTTTCTTTCCAAATCATTAGCTGATCAAGATCATCTCTTTTGCTTGACCCAGAAGCACATTGGTTGCATCTAAACACTGACTAATGCACTTGTTATTAATCTCCCTCCCTGCCTCTTGCTTCTCCAGATGATGAATGGCCAGGCGACGCTGCCCAAAGTTAGAGCGCTGCTCCACCATGATTACAGAGCCCGTTATTGGTCTGCCCCTGCACTTGATTAATGCTCTTGTTCCAGCTCCCTACAAATATGCTGACTCTCATCAAGCACTTTTGTCATTGAATAGAGTGCATTTTCTTTAAGCTCACTGTAATCACTGAGGAAAAATCCAGTTGGTGAAAAAAGCAGGTAAACGTAAGTGACGAAATAAAAACTGACACAGCACTACTTTGAGTTGTGAAACATGTTTTGATGGAGATTTGGAGTAAGAGGATTTATGTACTTAATGTTTTCCTGATGTCAACTTCTTGCAGTCGGATTGTATTATTGACAGTGGCACATTTTAATGGTTCACTTGATCAGTGAGTCACAATGAGTGAGGTCATTAATCACCAGCGTGGGGTGACAGCTGCTACTGAGGGTTATTAACAGTTCCTCATCGACACCAATACTAGTCTTGGAGCACAGTTTAGCGTGGCTGAACTCTTTATACTGTGACATGCATGAAGTGTTTTTGAACACATTGGCTTTGGTTCAACAATAAGCAGCATGAATGCAAAGCTAATTTTAGAGAAGATTTCAATACAATAATTGCTAAATGGAGCACTGAGTCAGAGAAATTGATATCAATCAAAATAGATGTTTGAGATTTTTCTATATATATGGTACACGTGTAAAGTGAGCTTGAATGTTATGCATTATAATAACGGCTGGGAGGTACAGCACGTACAATGTCTCCTTGTTTCTCAGCAACCGAGGAAGAGACAAGGCCTGAGCCTGAATTCCGACACTGACGCAGTTATTGATCAGTTAACCAGACCAAACACTGAACGCAGCAAAACACTACAACATATTTTTTTGCTTTGCATTCTGCTCAGGGCTCTGCTGTTAAATGAAAACCTTATAAAAGTGTGTAAATGTTTACTTTGAACAAAAAACACTGACAAGGCAAGTATTTACTGGAGGCTAATTCACAAACATCAGGCCATTTGTGCGAGTGTTCGGCTTTATGACTTTGCATTCACCACTCAAATGTATGTCAATTTACTGATAAATGAATGAAGCGGGATTCCAAATGTGGTATATACAGAATATATGTTCATACAAACAATAATAAACCATAGTGCTGAACTATGCTGCAGCAGAAGCTATGCTTTTATTGTTACGACCAATTGTATTCCTTTTACGTTTCCTCTATTTAAATATGACTTCCAGCATAGTTTGGTCAATCACTGGAATGAATCTTCTTCGACAGTGTCTAGCTTTAAATGTCAGGGAAGTCATAAATGTGTAAATATCATGAGAATAAGGGTTAGGGTTTAAAATCGGTTGTGCTCATATGGCAGCATTTTACTCATTAATAGGTAAATAGTTGAACAAGCTAATTTTGGTAACCCTGAAGTCAAGTAGGTTAGTACTGTGTGTCAAGAGGACATTACCAACATTACCAAGGGAGGAACTTTGTTCTGTTTCACCCTTGTCTTACCCTCTAATATGTTCTGCACACTCACCCCTGTGGAGCAGGGCACTGGAATTAGCATGCACCGGTTAAGCCAATAAGGATGGACACACCTCACAGCACCCAGCATTCTTCATAGAAGAAGGTTGACCTCGACTCTGTTGGCAACACTGCTTAATTTGTATGACCATCAGAAACAAACATTCTGAATATGAATGCTTTGATTCAGTGGCTGCAGAGAAATGTCAAAAAAATTAGAAAAGGTAAAATCATTCCGGTATAAAATAGTTTTTATTGATAACAACAAAAAGTGAGGTCTGTGGATCTAGAGACTAATAAAAAGTAATGTTTCAATACTTTGAGCACCACAAATAAATACAATTTCATTTAACTCCACTGGGCAAATAAAACTGAACTCACCAGCATGACTGCATAAAACTACCGGAAACTGGGGACATTTATTTTCGTAAATGAGGTCTTTTCGTAATAAAAAAAACATAATTTATGTGAGGTCAGGTTAATTATATCAACAAAATAAATGTCCACGGGTTCTATCAGCAAGTCAAGCAGAAATGTAGCCAGGATTAATCCAGGATTAAGCACCTTTCACCACTTCCCAAATCAACATGTGTCTCATGACTGGTTGATTTCATCAATGCCTGCATAAACACGTTGTGAAGCTGTACAAGCCAGAAACCCCATGAAGTCCCGCAGGACTTTGTTCCATAGAAATGCTTTAAACAATGAGTCGTCATGAATAATGCAGGCGTTATTCATGACAAAAACGACGGATACTCCTCATGTTACAGGAACTTATCATTAACTAAATGCAGATCATTAACTCATTATTTCAATTAAAGTGGCCTTTTAATCATCTATACAATGTGTATTACTTCCTTCAAAGTGTGTGTTTATTTCCTGGTGTGATGTCATTCAAGATGAATCTCTACGCAGTTCAATTCACATAAACAGGAAGATGGCTTGGTAACATTTTATTATGCTGTGTGTCATGTTGCTATCGTACTTGAAGTCGCCAATACCAAATAAGACATTCTAAATGACTAATCTCTAGATAAATCTCATACAGATGACTGCTGATGTAATTCAGGAGGTGACAACAGCAGACATGCTCACCACTGTAATGAAGGCACGTTCTTCCACTCATGAACAGCCGAACTAGCTAAACAAAAACTAAGTTCTTGCCCACTGCTGAAGAGCTCAATTTACACCTGCGGTTGTGATGTAACCCAGTGAGGTCTATTCATAACGGTGGCACTTGAGTGATAGTCAAGAAAATGCACAAAAGGAATAATTGCTTTGAAATAATTGTTTTTCCTCCTGTAGCTAAATGGAGAGACTTTTTGTCAGAAATATGTCAGAATTATTCTGAATCTGATGAGATCAACATCAACATGTAGCAGGTGTGTGGCTTTAAACTGTTGTTGCTCAAAAACATGTCCTCATTTTTATAGCTCCAAATAACTGATCACAACTCTTTTTCAAAGTAAGTGACATACCTTGACTAATTAATCTAGAGCCGTGCTGCAATCCCATTTACGTCAGTATTAGCAGATGTGAACAATTGCCTTGGGAGTTCTATGCTCCTAAGGCAATTTAATTAAGCCTGTGCAGAGTTTGAATAGTGGAATTGCAACAACAATTTATGTGATAAACACGAGTACAGAAAAATTCAGTACTCAAACGATAACTGAGCACTAAACTTTCTGAATTACAGATTAGTAAACTGAATGTTCTGTGTCAAAAACTCCCAGACCCGAACAGAGGGGGATCTGATCAAATCTACCAAACACGTAAAGTAAGCGTGTTCTGCAAAAATTTGTTTTGATAGAATACATTTTTCAGTGACGTGGCTGTCCCATTTTCAGCATGTACGTGTGTAGTATTCCATCTGTTATGGTTGTGTACTGCTGGGTCAGACAGCACACTGACACTGCATGCAAGAGGTACTTTCCAAGGTACCTTGTCGGCTCATAAAAACAACCTCAACTATGTTTTGTGTGATTTCAATCAGTATGGGTTAGCTGTAAGCACTGCCAAAGTACCCTCAATCTGGGTTTATTCCACATAATATGTATTTTATGACCATTGTAAGATAATGCAATATTTCCCTAATAGGCCGTCTGAGTCCACGCTGACTCATTTCTGTGTCAGTGATGTGAGGAGTAGTTTTAATCTGCAGCTGATGCTCTGACGTGTGTTGTGATGTTCAGCAGCACTGATGCATGCCAGCTCCTACTGGCTGGTTGGATGAAAAAATCACAACTCTTATGTTGCCAATATTTAGTTTTTGCACTGTGAGAGTGCCAACTCCATAACCTTGTTGATACTCCTTTCGTGTTTGGATTCATTTTTTTGGATCTCTATGTACATAGCCCAAAGTTAAGTTATTTTGTAACAGTGCTTTGCCCGTCACTTTAGTCCGCTGAAACTAAGAACCTCTAAGGTTTAATTACCTGATTTACTGCTTGATTGGTATTCTGACTAGTATTTCAGAGGTCTTACAGTGTTTTAGCTATTTTTTTAAAAGAAGATAAAGAAAATTACTTTTTGATAAGTAAAAAGCTTAAAACTTTTTTTCCCCCATGTATATGCTCATCTTTAATTCTAACCTGCATTTTCATTGACGAATAAACCACATTAACGTTGCCTACAGGAAGAAGCATACTTGCTTTATAGTGGCTCCAGCCATTTATACAGGCAAACAGAGATAATGAAGTAGCAGTGTGATATTCATATGCCTGTTATATAGCCATATGTGAATGCCATATATAGTGAGCTTCTGTCCTGAAGTCAGAACAGCAGTCTCAACGCTAAGGCTAGTTTCATGGAAACAGCTCACAATTGAAGTGCAGACATATATTATTTGTACTTACACACTCCACAACACAAAGGAGCTTTATTGTTAGTATTGCTGTGCCGCTCAAGCTGTAGAGCCAAGGCTTAGAAATCCATAAACAATGAAATTATTTATATTGTATTTGTTGAGCTATTCACAAATGAAAAAGGAAAAAAAGAAATGTATGTATCATGCGACTTTAGGTTTATCTGGACCACACAGCAAAGAAACTGTCCCACACGGTTTCTCTTTCGAGTGTGGAGCTCTGAGCTGAATCAGACTGACCTGACCTCTCCCGGATCTTCAGTAACCATCACGTCCGTCTTACAGCTGGCGATGGGGTTGATTGACAGCTCCACTGGTGGCACCACGAAGCTCTTGCTGACTGGCAGCCACAGCCCTTGGCCCAGACTGTAGAATGATCTGTGTTGGCACAACCACAATACCTAAATGTCAATCAAACTACAGTCATACCATAACCATTTTGTTATTTTCACACACATTGTACAGTGTGTACATACATAAGCATGCAAATATATGTCTGTAGGAATGAAGGGTGGTGAGGGTATGCTAGAGAGACGGAGATTTTGCAATTACCGGCATAGTGTATCATTTCATAAATTAAGGGTGATGCATATAGTGGGCAATATGGCCATCCTTGTATTAATTCCTTGCATTAAGGATAATGCAAATGTGCTGATAAGGTAAGCAATGGTTTTATATTGATGTGAGAGCAGTCTAGGACACAATTAGATGTCATTGCACATGCTTACACGATTCCTCTTTAGAACACGATGTAATAAAAATAGAACCACATTCAACAGGAAAATAAAGTCACAGCCTTTAACTCTCAAGGGAACTTGTTTAGCATACTAGTGTATAATGACAAGCTTATATCGTCAGTCCTGTGTGGCAACTAATTCAATTTGTATTTGCATGTGGTGCATCAACACAGTTGGAAACGGATTTGCCATCTCTTTGAATGTAACGTGGTCCGCAGCACAATGCTTTTTGTGCCATATGTGCTGATGACCTTTGCTCAAAATAATTTAGCTTCGCAGAGATGTTTCCACCGAGTGAAGATAAATATCCTCAGGAGGGAGGACACCCTGGGGGGCCAAGACTTATCACTGGGGAATAGCGACACATGGTGAGGCCTTACAAATGGCACAGAACACGGCTGTGCTTTGCATCATGTGCATTAATAAATGTATCTGAGCAGGTGGGCGACACTACAACAAATTCCCACTAAGAAACCAAACTCGAGTGGCTTCACACACACTTTGTCAAAAAGCTTGGATTTAAATAATCAACCCTGTCATTTGACTCCCACATCACAAACAGTATTTTTTTTCCACCCTTTCTACATCATGTAAGTTTATCCACTGTTAAATATTTCTTTCACCTATCCTGTCAAACATGACTTTGTATGTACGAGACCTGATTACTGGAACATCGTTTTTTTCTCGACTGCCAAACATCGGGATTAAAAACCTTTAACTTGTACACAATGCAGCTGCCAGTACATTTTGTATAACAAGATAATCTGAATGCATTACACTTATTTTGACCTCCCTTCACTATCTGACAATGAAAAGCAAAATTTGGCTTCAAAATGTTAATTAACATTTAAATAAACGCATTGAATCTCTGACATTTTCACCCACCGATCTTTCAGATCACAAAATGCTTATTTCCTCACTGCTCCTAGCGTAAAAAAAAGTGAGAGGCATCACTGGTTTCCCAAATGGATCCCCATCTGTGAGACCAATCCCTGTTAGGACTGACTAACACTGTCAAGCTATAGAGCAATGCAGTATTTTATCCTAGCCACCTCTACAGCACTGATATAGAACCCCTCCAACAGGAACCCAGTGAGGGTTTACATTCGGTTGCTGAATCTTTACTCACTTTGTCTGCTATCTGTATAAGTGTGTACATGGCTGAAAGTATATGAGTATATACTCTGTGTGTGTGTGTGTGTGCAGTTGTCCTTTCATCTTTCTCCTCTCAAAAACTCTGGACTGGCACAGTGCTTCGACAAAAGCGGTAGATTTCTTTGCTGTCTTTGTGAGTGTGTGTGTGTGTGTGTGTGTATGTCGGTGCCATCGGAGTCCCATCTCCAACATAATGTCGCTTTTTTAACCGGCACTGGACTGCGGAAAGTTGAAATCAAATATTTTGCACAAAAACGTCAAGATTTGGACCTGAATCCAACACTTCTAAATACCCATAGACATTGGTTTTCAGCCAAAACAAGTGGTTTGGGGTTTAGTTACTCTTGAATAAAACTGTATGGAAATTCGGCATCAACTTTTGAAAGCTATAGACAAAAAGGCAATGTGTCTGTGGGCAACGGTACACGATTTTGTTATAGTTCTGGTTTTCAGTTTACAATCCCACCAGTACAATACCATCTGTATTTTGTTGTTTAGCTTTTTATTCCTTTAATCTACAACGTAGACAACACATTTTACTCATCATCAGCATTATCAAGAATTGTGTATGAATAACTGAACTAGTCTTACTGAACTAGGTCAGGTTGATCTGGACTATTTAAAGAGGGACAAATAGAATAGAAACACCAGAGTTATAATGAATGGATCCTTTGAGTCTTGCACTTCTTGAAACATGTCATACACAATGACCCCATCAAGAATGACAAGTGGAACAGAAATGGCAGTAAAAGCATTTGAAAGGAGACCATCCAGGACTGCACCTTGGGCTATTTCCCCACACAAGAGCCAATGGGTATGACCTCACCCCGACACAAGGTGTATCTGTGTGTCCATCCAACTGCCTCTATGTGTATCTGCTCATCTGTATGAGCACACACACACGCATGCCAAGAAGACCACCATCATCCCATTGAGTGTCCACAGAGTCACAGATGGCCAGCAGAAGTCATGCACTCAGGAGAAGCATCGGAAGTGAAGGACTCACCTGAAGATCCTCTCGGGGGCCTGCTCCCCTGTAACTAGGTCATAGCCTTTCTCCAGGTTAGCGTATGGCCAAGGACTTGAGGACAGAAAGGAGGGAACACCAAGTCAAAGAAAGAAATATATGAATATTTCAAAGTCATGTTGTATAATTATTAATAATACATTTCAATGTGTTTATGTACTCTGAGTAAAAAAAGGACAATCTTAATGTTTTTTTTCATTCATAAATAAATTACTCCACACTGTGTATATAACACAATATATCTCAGAAAATGAAATACAAGGTCAAAACTAACATTGCTTGATCATATTTGTGTTTTCATATACCCTCTGTCAGCTGTTACTCCTGCAAAACTGTGAATGGAAAATGTGATATGCTACTGGCCTGAATCCAGACGATGACTGATGGAGTTGAATAACAATGCAGGACCTTTTAGATGAATCAATAATTGCGCAAGCCAGTTAATTGTCAAACAAGGTCAGAGTGAGAGAGGAAGCTCATTTGACTTGTTTTTCCTTCCCTAACATGTCGATTTATACCATTTGTCTTTCTTTCTTCTGTGTTGTTCTTCATTGATATATTCATTTCTTGCTTCCCCTGCTGTTTTCTTTCATTATAAATCACATCCCTCCTAGCTTCTCCTCTTCCTATCCGTATTTCTGATTATCTCTTCAAAGACCTTAAAGGACCATTTACATACGTTAGCTCATTAACTGCAAATTTCTTATAGTTGACATTACTGGTGACCATTTTTGAAAGCTAGAGTAAGTTATTAGATTGATTTCCTATCTTGGTTTGCATTCAGTTTAATACTCTACAGATCAACTTAAAGAGACTTGAAACTTTCTCCAGATAGCTAATCCATCACAGTTAACAATTCACCTTTATTCCATGTAAAGTTAATACTGTGAGCTAATGCAGCGGGGAGTAGGGCACTGCGAACCCAGCCGTAAGGTAATTTAAGTACAAGTAAGTTCTTAGATATCAGTGGGTAGAGCAGACAGGACTTACCCTTCATTCCGACCCCAGTCGCTGCGAACACAGAGGTGTTTATGGACAGGATCGGGAGAATAACCCTCATGACAGCTGCATTCTCCTGCAATAAAGAAAACAAGACGGGGGACAGTGGTGGATATTTATTCACCCTCAGGAGATGAATAAATTACAGAGTAAGTGACCCTGGCCTGCTCATACATCAGAGGCATATCAAATAAGCACTTGTCATGCCATCTTATTTTTCAGGTACATTTTTCTGGCGAACAAAACTGGAGTAGATTTACATTGATGCCCGTACCATTAGCTGGGCTATTTCCTGGAATATTTTGAATTCATTCTCTTGGATTTTTCCTCACCGAGCCATCAAGGTGAACTTGTATGTTGCCGCTGTTGATTTTTTTCCCCTAGAATACTATGGACATAAGCTTCATTGGTTAAGTCAAAAACCTACTAGATTTGAATGCTTTTAACATTATGACTACATATATTGTGTCATGTGAAAAGGCTTAACAACAGAAGCCACCACCAGCCAGCACTCAAACAGGAAAACAGTGTCGTAAACGTTTGTTTATTTATTTCTGCTGGCTAGAATCTGACAAAAAGTGACTGGGATTCTGTTGGCTCCCAGTATCCCCAAACATCTTCATCATCCTCACTGAGCTATTTTCTTTCCTTGAGCTTTTTTTGTGTCTCGATACGAGATCTCCGTTCAGCTCCGCTCAGTGGGCTGGACAGCTCCCACTGCAGAACGAGCACAGACACTCAGACAGCAGCACAGCTATTTTGTTTTGGTACAGGAGGCTGCCAATCGAGCTGCTCGGGTCAGTTTGTATCTCTCTGGCTGCTGACTCACCAGATAGACATTAAGTTTAAAACCACACATTGCTGTTACATGTCATAATACATCATTTGATTGGATATCAACAGTGCCTAGTGGGTAGCTGAAATGTTAATGTATATATATATATATATATATGACCTTGTATCTTGTACCTGTATACAGATTCCTGTACTGAGTTAAAGTTACTACTACTCAGATAACATTAAACGCACCAATGGATATGTCATTTGCGTACATTATGTGTTCTATCAGATTTTAATAAAAGATATAAACGCTTTAGTGTTGTGTATGGTAAATTGAATACCCAGAATACACTGCATGTGTAATGCCTTTTTAAGTGGATGGATGCATTTGTGAAATGTTAAGTCAATTTACCAACTATTAGCACTGTTCCCAAAATAAAGCCACTGACTGCTTTCTGTTGACCGACAGGATACGGAGGCATAACACTGGAAAAATGTGTAATGGCCACCCAGGCAACCCCATTCGCATTTTATCACCTCGTGTTTAATAATTTACTGGTCGAGTTTATAGGCTTAAGACTCACTCACAGACTGATGCACCACCAGGACTCAGAGTCACAGAGACGCAACAAACATGTTTTTATTTGCTTGCAGCTATTTATTGTGCCCTCGCTAAATGGGGAGCAATCGCTCTTTAAAAGGCTCACCTTTAAAACATGGACACGAGTAAACATTCAAATACTGTAGACATTTCAAATAAAAGATAAACAAAGAGTGTAAAGGTCGCAGGATAATAGCTGTACCCATGATGAGAATGTATTTTTATGATTTGATCAAAAATCTACTATTTTATATTTGCACATAACAGTGTATCTCCTCTGAGTCGGAGACAAACGCTAACCATGCCATGAGTAGTGTTCTCCAAAAAGTTTAGTTCTGTCTAAGTCGTGAATAGTATGTCACTTAAAGATGTGCAATGCATTCTGGGAAAACATAACTGTAAATCTAAATACGGTGATACCTACTGGCTGTGGAAAACAACCATCCTATATCTCCGAATGAAAGACTCACCTTGATCTGCGGGCAACATTTTATTTGATTGTAAGTTTTAACATCAGAGCTCCGAACATTTTCCTCATGACTTCTACTTTAGACTCAAGGAGGTTCATTTATTATGGCTAGGGAACTTAGTCTATGTTTCATTCAATCAATGGCTCGTTTTTTCTTTACTAACTGCAGAACAAGTTACTGTTAATTTGACAATACACATCTTACAGTGCACCCATTCCACCCTGACATCCTCCCTCTGCAGACTGTGTGGCACACTACGTCCTCCTTTGCTCCCGAGAGAAAATATTCATAATCCGTAGTGCAGATAGAGGGCTTTGTCACTTGAATGTAAACATATTGCGTTTTTGGGGCATTTGCTGAAACGATTGATGCTGTTGTTTTTCCTGGGGAGGCATTCTCATTTGATTTCATACTCCAAGGCACGCAAACATGTATTCTGTTCATGGTGCAAAGACACATAAGCACACACACACACACCTCCATTTCCCCACTGCTACTCGTTGCATACACATTTAACCTAGTTAAAGTACTTTTTTTCCTGACTGCCAGAGGCGCTGCTTAATAAAATCCATCTTGCACATGTGCAGTCAGGTCGCATGTTACCAGCTACATGCTGGAGAGGCTGGAAGGAGGAAAGTTTCTCTCTCTTTCCTTTCCCCTTTTGCAGTCTGCCAGAGGCTAGAAATGGCTATTTCATTAGTAGTCTGTTAGTGTTTAGGCTAACAATAGCACCACCATTTATTTTCTTACATATGCAATGGGAAAGATTTACACGGCAAACTCTCATTTGCGGATGAAAATGCCTGACTGCACTTGTGATTAATTGGAGAGGGGAGATGGGAGTAGGCTGCATCCAGGAGACAAGCGACTGTGCCTTCTGCTGACAACTGGTATACTCCGCTTGTGTTTGGTTCGAGAGAAAACATCTAATAGGACGGGGCCAAAATATTTCACACTACAAAAAGCGTATCAGTACCTCAGTTACCAGTGTTTCCGTCATGTAACGCATCCCCTTGAAGCCCCAAACACCTGTTTGTATTTGGACATATTACTGGATGTTTTCAAATGTCCACAAGAAACTTAATTTCTTATCCGACTAAAATAAAACAATACTAAGTATGTCTCATCATATAGAATGCAGTAAAATGACCATAACCTGGATTATTTCATCCAGTATTTACTAGTAGTAGTAACTTTTTTTTTTTTTATTTGAAACACAGTGAACTGAAATGTTGATCACAAGCAGAAAGCAAACCTGTCCCCTCCTTTATTCGTCTTGGCTCCTGTAACGTTGCGATAGTATAATATGGTCAAATCTCTTTTCAAAATGTAAAATTATATATCCGGATATTAGTAATCTAATGCAATTTAGCAAAATACAACAGGTTTATTCACAGTGACAGATTGCGCTCGTGACCTGAATTAGATATTGGAGAAATTGGTCTTTGTGCAATTTAGAATTGGACGCTCCTCATTTAGAAGTGAGCCGAGTCCACACATGTAATTAACAATACTGGCAACTGTATTAAATGGCAGAAAATATAAATCACACTGGATAATTGATTCACATATGCAGCTTACACATAAGAACATAGTGTATATATTGTACAGCCATATATGTGTGAAGGCCTGGAGGCTGCAGAGGGACACAATCACTAAGTCTTTTCCACCTTGCCTCAAATGAGGCGCACCAGCACGTAAGCACAGTGTATTCTGAGACACACCTTGCAAGCAATCAGTGGAATGTGTTTCTTTCCTTTATGCAAATGCCTTTGAGGGCGGATCAAGCAATTAATGGGAAGAGATATGTCTGGCTGATTACACATTCCGCTGGATTAACTGACCTTTAGACAACTTGCGAGAATCAGTTACGTGCAGCAGTTTCTCTGCCTCTGAAAGCTGGTTCAGATAAAGCACAGGCGTATAGAAAGAGGGAGGTTGTGGTTGAGAAGAGAAACTTAAAACTGTAGCAATTCTTTAGAGAGTTCAGAGGCACTAGACAAAAGGTGAGTGTACTAGAAAAACAATGGGAAGAGGAGGAGTTGAGCTGAATTGGCTAATAAAAAACGGTCTCTTAAAAAGATAAAGCCAGCAGTAAAACACCACACAAGGAGGAGATGGGGAGTTGGGATTGTGTGGTCATTAAATTTGAACTTCACTGAGCTGCTAATGTGCTATGGCAACTGCACTCATTTTTACATTTACAATGTGCAGTTGGCTGGCGTTAAGTTGGGATTCTAAGGAGACATGAGCCACATCAGTGCCATCCATCTGTTATGTTACGAGTTTGTAACAGTTGCTGATGTGGTGGCTCATTGATTTATTTATTGTATATAAGCTGTGTTTTCATATATTTCTATGTTCTAATATCTTAGGAATCCATTTAATGGCTCCAATTGCATTAATTTAGCACAAGTGCAATGATATGTCTTCCTTGCTAGATTGTTGTGTTTAGATGACTAAAACTTGTTCAGGATCTCTTTGTCACTGATGGAGCTGACACAGAGATTATTGCCCGATCAAGAGCCATTCTGATAAACCTTTTAGCTGCAGGGGTGATTTAGAAGTAAAAAAAACACCTCACTCTAAAGAAGAAGAGAGTGTGGTGTTTGGAAAGGCGGTTCAGTGCAATCCAACACCGCTTTTGTGTCAGAGTAGTTCTGAAAAAACATCTGGCAGCTGAGCCTTTAACCGCTTCGTCTGACATCCGAATGCCCACAGCTCCGAGGACAAAGTAAAGAAAGTCAGCCCGTGCAGTGATGCTGCAGCTCACTGGATGTGTTTGGTGGATTTTGAATGTATGGGCCACATCTGACACAACTGAATCAGATCCAACGAAAAGATAGGTCATGCACAGAAAAAAATCATCAATGGGTTGAATATAAAAAGAAGATACAACTATATTTTAGATACAATTGTTGCCTTATTACACAGACAGATCATAATTGACCAAAACTAAATTCTAGTTTATATAAATTACTATTTCAGTGTTGCCAAAAGTTATGGTTGACTAATTAAACCATGTTGGTGGCCTAATTTAGAGCTAATCACCTGGGATTGTAAATTGCCATTTGATGACAACAATTATCCAACTGTGCTCACCCAGTCCCTTTCTTGTTACAGTCCAGCTAGGTTTCTACATGGACACACAACCTGACACTGCAAATGGAGATAAACACCAATACTAGATTGCCAATACAATGTGTCACCATTACGTCACCGTTGTGTTCTCATTCTTTCTTTCACATTGTAAAGGAGTGGCAATTACTTCAGAACACAAATCTTTTCTCTTCACTCTTGTATCTGTATAACACATCTCATTTTACAAAATACGCGTTTCCTTATAATGAGTTCTAATTTCTCACTGTGGCCATTGGGATCATTTTCACACTTCAAGGGCCATGGTACAGGGAGTTATTTTTGTCTTGTTGCAAATACACACTTGTTATAAAATGCACCGGGCACAAATGCTAACCAAAGTCAGATTTAACAGAAGTGTGTTCTCCTAGGAGTGTGCACGTGCACATGCACATGCACATACTGTATGCTTTGAATGGACGGATAAAGCTGGTCTATATGTTACCAGTCCAGCAGTTTCCATTCCAATTAGGTAAGGTTGGAGGAGCCAAGGAGACATCATTTTAAATGAGGAAAACAAAGGCAGCTAAGGAGGTTCCTAGTTCATGAGGTTAGTTATGATGATAGATGGAAAGGTTGTGGATGCAAGCTATTTCCCCTTAGTAGGGCGTATAACTATATGAGATAGGACGCATCGATTAATCAAGAAATTAACTCATAATAACGTGTTAACTTGATTCATCACATTGCATATATTACACATTTATGGATGCATTGTATTGTCAACCCATTTACAGGGCCTTCTCATAACATTCTCAGTATCAAGCTGTTATTACATCATCAGTTGCTACAAAGACGATCCATGGTCAAAGTCCAACAGTAGTCAGCTAGATCCTCTGCTGCAATCAGGCAATAGCGTCCACTTCATCCACTAACCTCCACGCTAGCAGTTGAGTCAGAGGATGAAGGTGAGGGCAGGGAGGATTGAGTACCCAGGCACAGTGATACTGTGACTAGTAGTCACGGTGGCAGTCAACCAGCGTGACATTAAAGCAGGAAGACTTGGTGAAACGATATCTGCTAAAAGTAGGACCGCCATTGTCTTTGTGTATGTTTGGAGAAAACTGATGAATGTGATTGAGTCAAATGTGTATATTTAATGTTCCCTCATGAAAGGTGGGAATCTTTGATGATTAAATGGAGAGTAGAAACAAAGTATTACAACTTAATGTGTAACTTTGGCAGCCACAATTTTCCCAACAAATTACAACAAATTTGAGGTTTGGTCTTGTAAACCAAACGCTGAGGTTTTTTGTTAAACCTTTAACCTAACCAAATGTCTTGCAGGTTCAGAGATGACACTCAATGCAGTGGATGTACAGTAAGAAGGAGAAGGTAATGATTACTTTATGGCATCAGTATACACATAAGCTTGCACACACATTTCTGTGATTTGACCGTTTGACAAAGTGAAAGAAACTGGACAAATCACTTTGAAGCAATTCAGCAAAACCCTGTAGTCAAAGCAAGCAATGTGATTTTCCACCAGCAAGTTCAATTCAAAACCACCAGTCCACGTGCGTGTGTGCCTATGGCAGCTGCTTTTGTGTTTTCCATGTTTAACAAGACTTGCCCGAGCAGGTGCTTTTCTGTCACTTGTCAAAAAGTAAAATACCCGCTTTGATATTGCCTATTGTTGTGGCCAGAATGGCAGCATGCTCAGAAGACAGAGCAGTGCTTTGAAATGTCCCAACCAGTGGTTCGCCCTATTGTTGGAACTGCAATAAATGTGCTTGGATGAAAGACTTTGTTTCAGGTGTTTTGTGTGTGTGTGTGTGTGTGTGTGTGTGTGTGTGTGTCTCATTGTTGAGTGCTATTGTATGGGTGCAATAACGCATGATCCAGGACAATGATGGGAATAGAAAGCTCTTTCGAAACACCTTTAACTTGGCTGTAGAGGGGATGTGGCTGCCCTGAGGAGATACAACATACTTGAGGGCAATTACTGATCAAATAATCATGCTGCTAAAAAGAACAGATACAACAAGAAGAATAGGTGGAGACAGAAGTACTGATTTAGTAAGAATGCCAAATGTACTGGGGTCTGGATACGTAAATGACTTCATCATTGAATTACAACCATTACTGATCTCACAATGCATTAACAAACAGTGATTGATGGAAGAATATACACACACATGTCCGCACACATTCACAATCCACAAACACATACGGGCCAACTCCATATTTGGCATCTTGATGTGTACCGAGTGAGTTAAGTGTGTGGAGCTCGAATACATAATGCATCAGCCCGCAACATGCCCTTGACCAGGGCGACGTACATTTCACATACGTTACAGATGTAATCCATTCTAATGAGCTTAGATTTTATCTAGTTTGGCTCGAAACACACAAGGGAGCTACAGCACTCAGCGCAAGATAAATATCATCACGCTGGACGTCTGACTTTTGTTTTGTATAGTTTTAATGTCAGCACAACATATTTTCAGAAAATTGTACGAGCTGATTATATACACATACTGCAGTGGAGGCTGCAGATTAGATTCCTGGATGGGGCAACAGGCACTGGGGGCTTACACACTCTAATGTTGCTGTCTAGCTTGCTTTACTAAGCTTTGACTCCATCTGTAGACGTATGTTACATTAACTCCGTTGTTTAAGAAAAGCAAACAATCTCCAGCCACAATTACTATATACTGTTAATATATAAGTACAGCCTCCCTTGACTGGCAGCTCAGCTGATCACACATGGATCCCAATGTTTTATTGGTTTTAGGGCGCTGTCTTCTGTGCCCTTTTTACACCAATTTGCCTCGTGTGTGTTGAATACCTGATTGTCCTCTATTGAATTATCAATGTAACGCAGGACATATAAGGCCATGTTAGCTGCCTCCTCACTGCAACTTACTAAGCTCCAATTGACAAAGTAGTTTGTTTATAATATTGAGAAAGTTGTGGTAAGATTTGTATTTTGACCATTATTTTAAAATTAAAAAAATGAAGCAGCTTACAATTACCAAAATGTGTGTACTTTATTTTGTTATATGTTAAAAATGAGTTTATATAATATGATATATAAGGTATTTTAGACACTTAAAACCTCATACATCATACAAAACATCATACATTCTCTTCATGTTTACTGAGACCAACTAAAGATGGAGCAATATCACTGTAAGATATTTATAGTTAGTTTTTACGTATATAGCAGTTATTCTCATACTGTAGAACTTCACTTGAAGTAATATAAAAAGGCTTTAAAAGTCAAATATGAAATGAAAAAACTGGATTTAATAACAATTTATTTACTTACTCTGAGATATGCACTACTGCACTACTATTAACGATTGTCAATATTAAGACTTTATTACTGCCATTTTTAAATAAAATGTGTTCGATGTGCATAAAGCAGTTGTATTGGGCTCCTCCAGGGACTTTCTTTCAGATCAGAGACACTGAAAAACATTCATGAAGGTAACCCTGTAGCAAAAGAGGAAGGAAGGACAGCTTCCTCCCTCCACATTCTGTTTTGGCGTCCTTGCAATTATCACAACATAAAAGAGATTGAAATGGCTGTATTTCCTTCTAATCTCAACACACTCAATATGGCCTGAAATATGCCTTTACGTTGCATTTCTAACCAGTGCATAGAATTTCAAGTCGACTCAAGGTCATGCATGTTTGTGTGGACCAACCTGTGTCCTGATCGCAAATCTGCTCGCAGGGCTCAGTTGTCCTCTGGCCGCAGTAGTCCAGGACCCACTGTGTGGACGAATTGGTCTGATAGTAGAGGGTTAGCTTGGCTGGGTTTAGCCAATTAGAAACATCCAGGAAGCTGCCCATGCTCACCACAAAACTACTTCCTGAAAAAAAAAAAAAAAAAAAAAGACAAAATGATTTAGCTTTTTGAAAAAACAACAATAAAACATTGTAAAATACTTTATTGTTTGGTATTTCTAAAACATATATAAATCAACATGGATTAACAAGTTCACACAATGCTGATACAGCCTATTGCTACCAGGGAAAGCTCTCTGTATTTCATAGTTTCCTGGAGTTGCGATCTCTGGTGTTTGTGGCAACTTTACCGTGAAATATCACACAAAAGCTTCCTGGCGCGCCTGCTACATCTCCCCAGCCCCAAGCATCCCCTAAATCTTCCCATGCTCGTTTTTTTTTTTTTAACCTTAATCCTCTCAATGCAGAGTTTCATATTTATCTGAAGGGTCCGCCCCAGCCCCTAGCCATCACTATGATCTCTCCCAAAGGGTAATTATTACTCTCACTGACAGAGGGGGAGACAAAAGTTTCGTACTCCAGCCTTGTTTCCTGGTCCTATTGCATAATCAATTGGGAAGTACCTAATAATTTTATTTTCACTGTAATTTCAATTCCCCTCCTGACCAGGCTGAATTTAAATGATACAATTAAGACCCATAATGTGTGTATTGATGGGATTTCCCTGGTGATTGCAGTAGAGGGGCTAAAAGAGTTTCACAAGTCACTCAGTAAACGCTCTGCTCATTGGCAGTGACTTACCTTTCGTTCTTACTGCTCCCGGACCAATCGTTAAACTCCGATCACTGAACAAGATTATCCTTAATTGATGCCAATGACTTTACGTTCCACAGGGAGCTTTGGGAGATTGTGCTTCAGCCCTCTAGTGAACACAAAGGTTCGTATACAACTACAGTATATTGTGTCTATATTGCTGTGTCATGGATGGAAGATTTGCGGAAGCATTTGCAGCAAGTATACATGTCTTTGTCAAAGACAAAATGTACATCAAACTTGCTCGGATAGAAATACAGCAATTGTGAGATTGAGAAAAATGATTCCCTCATTTATTTATTTCATGATGTGAAACTCTGTGATGGTGGTCTCCAGGCTGTTTATTCTTAAAGAGAGGATTAATGCAGATGGAAATGCTTAGACAGTGGCCAGCAATCAAATCTGAGTCACAGCTCAAGTAACAAGGCCAATGCCCTGCAGTTAAATACACAACCCAGAGGAGTAATACTTTACACCACAAAGAATGCGGATAAAGCATATATATCCCAAGCCTCAATTACATTCCAGTTTTGTATCGTTTTATTTTCTACCATTTTAGTTGTCATTTCTAATAGAACAAACCACCATTTGCCTCCTCGTACACACATGAAATCACCGGCTTCTTTTTGTTTGACAGGAAAGTGTCACACCGGGACAGCCTGACCCACACAGAGCCTTAAAAAAAAATACACCAATGTGTTTAAGTATTATTTTCGGACTACCTGGCAAACTTGACAGGAGCAACTGATTTTGACCATCTATAGACCAATAGCAGGCCTGTAGTTATGCCTTCAAGTGCATTGTGCTTTGCTTGGAACCATTGTTCTGCTGCACCTACAGTACGGATTGAAGTAAAGTTGAAGTGTGTCCATCTCAGATATTGATATTGCAAATAATAAAAAATAGGTCTGAATGGGATAATATACAAGAAGGTGGTTTGAGATATTGTGCTGTAAACACACAATAGTCATGAATTTAGGCTACAATTTATAAAATGAGTAAATGTTGACGAATCATAGACGCACACTCCCTGAGAAACAAGGGCTGTTGTTGCTGTTCTTGAAAAGGAAGTATTCAGTACCACCAAAATGCCCAAAAGATTAAAAATGAAAACCCAATTCTCCAGATGGCATCCCTAAAATCATCTCAGGCTGACCAGAGGTGAGCATAACAAGGCTACTTCCTGCAGCACTGCAGTTAGTGAACTGAGCTGCCGGTAGCCCTCATTTGCTGAGAGAGTGGAAAAATCTAATGTTGTCAGCTCACACAGTGAGGAGGCAATTGTTAGATTATGGGTTGGTTTCCCTGAGAGCTGTGAAGAAACCCCTCCTGAGCAGTAAGAACATCGCTGATTGCTGGCAATTTTGCTGTGCATATTGTGAATCGAGTGCGAAAAACGGTGGGAAAATGATTTTGTTAGATTAAACCCCCTTTCGACTGCTTGGGGAACAGATGTGGAATAGAAAGCACTACACATCAGTGGCAACGGATAATCGTATAAACATCCAGCATTTGTTTATCAATCAAACATCCAACTGACTGACATCTTATTATTATACAGTAATTAGTCATGCTCTTGTAGTTGCTGCTTTATCTTGTTTTTTCTGTCATCTTAACATTGGTCAACATATAGTTATGGCAGTTGAGATACGTGATAAGATGCAAAACTTATTTTGTCTTTATACATTATCACCACCTTCGGACTGTAATTGTAATGCAGTTATTTATAACCCACCTGTTGACGATCTTATGTCACAAAACAAAAACATATTAGCTTCTGCGCTGTGTTGTTTGTCTTTATCGTCTCCTATTTTCTCTCCCCTACTCCCATCACTCATTAATTCCCCTGAATAAATAGGGTCGTTTACAGTGTGCAGCTCACGCTTCCTGCGTGTCAGATCATATGCTTTGCATTGTAGCCATACCGCAGCATTATCATCTATATTCCTGTCTGCCTGTTCCTGTCCTAAACCTAACTTATATTTATACAGGCTTGCCAGTTTGGATTTGCTTTGTTTGTTTATCTGTTGGATTTGTTAGTTTGTTTGCTCTGACTCCCTGCCTGCTGCCGACTGTATGCCTGCCAGACTAATGAGTTAAGCCGCCCCTTTATCACATCTGCTCTGCCTCAGGTGTCTCCTTTAAGTATCTCAGTCCAATCCCGGTACAAGAAAGTTTGCAGAAGAACAACAAAACTAAAAGTAAAAACAAAACTTACAAAATAAACGCTGTGTGGAACATACAGATGCTTTGCCTGTTTTTAGAGCTTTGCCTGGAGTGGAGCTAACATGTAAAGATTGAGAGAGAGAGAGAGAGAGAGAGAGAGAGGGAGAGAGAGAGAGAGAGAGAGAGAGAGAGAGAGAGAGAGAGAGAGAGA